GCTCTTTGAAGCGAGTCACTTTCAATTACTGCGGAGGTTAGCGCGGACTTGACACAGCGAGACGTGTTGGTCGCTGTTTGTTTGTGGCCCTTTGCCAAAGCTCCGCACGCTCAGGGTTTCTGGTCTGAGCAGTTTGGAGATAGAGCAGGACTATGGAGGTGAGACTGGAGATGGGAGATAAGATGAGGCAGACTCAAACTTAACAACAGGAAAATACAGCCGTCGAGGGATTATCTACACCAAGAATAACCTATAGGTCCTGTATGTTTTCTACAAAGTTTCCGTCTATCAATCTATTCCTAATATCTGTCTATTCCCATTAACCCTCTATCTACATTGGAGATTGTTTTGCCTGCATTTAAAAAAAAAGCATGAATACGTCTTTATCATAAACACAAATGTAACCTGACTTCATCCAGCTTTCAAAACACAAAAAGTGGAACTTAGCAAAACAATCCGTCTAACTATTTCCATGCTCTTAAAATGGTTTAATCACTAGTTTTCATAAATTTTAGGTCTCTGTCACATATGTACATCAGATTTTTCAGATAGCTTGACATTTGACATTTCTTCCTGAAAAAGTTGATTTAAAGACACAAAAACGGGAAGGAGCGATGGGAAAACATGTGAGAAACTTCAGGAAGGCTCATATTGAGAGAGGGATCTGCTCCCAGGCTTTAGATCCAGGACTGAGGCTGTAGACCCAGGACTGAGGCTGTAGATCCAGGACTGAGGCTGTAGACCCAGGACTGAGGCTGTAGATCCAGGACTGAGGCTGTAGACCCAGGACTGAGGCTGTAGACCCAGGACCGAGGCTGTAGACCCAGGACTGAGGCTGTAGATCCAGGACTGAGGCTGTAGATCCAGAACTGAGGCTGTAGATCCAGGACTGAGGCTGTAGATCCAGGACTGAGGCTGTAGACCCAGGACTGAGGCTGTAGACCCAGGACTGAGGCTGTAGATCCAGGACTGAGGCTGTAGATCCAGGACTGAGGCTGTAGATCATGGACCGAGGCTGTAGATCCAGGACTGAGGCTGTAGACCCAGGACTGAGGCTGTAGATCCAGGACTGAGGCTGTAGACCCAGGACCGAGGCTGTAGATCATGGACCGAGGCTGTAGATCCTGGACCGAGGCTGTAGATTCAGGACTGAGGCTGTAGATCCAGGACTGAGGCTGTAGATTCAGGACTGAGGCTGTAGATCCAGGACTGAGGCTGTAGATCCAGAACTGAGGCTGTAGATCCTGGACTGAGGCTGTAGACCCAGGACTGAGGCTCTAGACCCAGGAATGAGGCTGTAGATCCAGAATCGAGGTTGTAGATCCTGGACTGAGGCTGTAGACCCAGGACTGAGGCTGTAGATCCAGAACTGAGGCTGCAGATCTAGGACTGAGGCTGTAGATCCAGAACTGAGGCTGTAGATCCTGGACCGAGGCTGTAGACCCAGGACCGAGGCTGTAGGTCCAGGACTGAGGCTGTAGATCCAGGACTGTGGCTGTGCTGTACCGGACCAAAGATGCTTCCAGGCGGGCGGGAGAGCAGCCCAGTAGTCCAGGTCAAGGGCGACCAGTCCAGACTTATGCATTGAGAGACCTATAGAAGAAACAGAGAGATTGAATTTTTTGCATAGTTTTTTTTTTCAGATCAGAATGATGGTTTGTTGAAGATGCGCTATGCAACTTTAACAATGATACTATAGACACCATGGCACTATAAAATCCAATTTTTTGTAGATTTTCTGGTCTCAGTTGATCTTCAATTGATCTTTCAGCCTCCTTCAGAACCCTGAGGTGGAAAGTAAAGCTGCCATGCTAACCACTCATAGAGCCACCGAGTCAAATACACAACACTATCAACTATTCTCTCACATAGAAAGTTTCGAAAAATGCTTTTACAATATGTGAGGTAAGTGAGGAACAATAAAGCATGTCTCTCCTAGTTTGAAAATGCCCAAACTTTATGCAAAATAAGTGCAGAGGAATCGAACCCTCTGGTGTGTGTTATTGTGTGCGTGCAACAAGGTGAAGTGTGATTTTAATTATAAGATGTCCAGAGGCGCTGAGGAGCCGTCACTCTGCAGACGATGCTCAGACTTGTGTGTGTCAACAGGTTCGTTAACAGTAAGTTTATTAGTCAGCCTGGTCTCCGCTTCTCACATGTGTTTACTGTAGAAGCATGTGTCATTTACATCAGTGTTTCTCAACCTGTGGGCCGTGGTACATTAGTGTGCCTTTGGTAACGATCCAATAATAATAATAATAATGCATCGGTTTTATATGGAGCTTTTTTGGACACTCAAAGATGTCATGTCATGTCATTATTCATTCACTCCAAACACGGTGGTGATAAACTACTTCTGTAGCCACAGCTGCCCTGGGGCACACTGACAGAAGCGAGGCAACCAGTCTGTGCCATCGGCCCCTCCCACCACCACCAACCATTCACACACACACCAGACTTATTCTAGGCAATGGGAGTGAAGTGTCTCATTTGTGAATATCGTCTCCTTGGTCAACATAATGTGAACAGAAAATAATGTGAGAAGATCAGAAAGACTTTTTTGTGCTGGTCTGATTTTCTATATAATGTATGTTGATGAAAATGACTTTGCTTTGTTACTTAAAAATAATCATATAATGTTTTTTGCTTGTTTTATTCCTGTACTTTTGAGCTTGTCTGGTGCACACTGGGTTCTTTTACACATGTTCCAATGTTCCAATCTAAAGGCAGCAAAATGTATTATTTAGATCTTATTAAAGACTCATATGCAACCACAGGTTCCATAGCTAAGAATAATAAAAACCACGACCAACTGGTACATTTATGACCAATACATTTGTGAATTTATCCAATATTTAAATAACCAAATATATTCAGAGAGTAGTAATAATTTCCTGAATGATGTCTGCGTCTTGTCTTTAGGTGCCTTTATGTTGTATAAACATTTTACTGTGCTGCTAATTTCTCATGGCAACACACTTCACTTCTGACTGTTACCAGCAGAGGGCGTCAGTAGACATATTCTCATTAATCCTCCACTAAACAACCTCATTAAAGAAGGATTTTCTTGTTTTGTCCAAAAGTGTGTTAATCGGTAACCGTCCTAAAAACTGCCTTCTTCCCCGAGACATTGACACATTTGGAAGACATTGTTGAAAAGTTGAAAGAGATTCAGAATTCTCCGGTTTCACTTCTCAGATCTCCTCCCTGCGGCCATGTTTGGTTTAGGTGTTTTCTTCTGCGCTGGATTAAACTGTAGGTCTCTGGTTTGTGAAGAAGGAAAAGAGAAAGAATGCAATATTTGATGTTGAATACAGCTAAAAATAAAACACTGGCCCTAGTGGTAGAAGTAATGAATAATGTGATCACGTTGGAGCAGGCGTCAAACTGGGTCCAGAAAGGTTTGACACCCCTGCCTTACAGATAGGGTGAGGAGCTCGGTCACATGGGAGGAGCTCGGAGTAGAGCCGCTGCTTCTCCATGTAGAGAGGAGCTCGTGTTGGCTCAGGCATCTTCACAGGGGAATGTGTTCTGGACATGTCTACTGGAAGGAGACCCTGAGTAAGACACAGCACCCATTATTTGACATGATATGATTGGATATTATTTTCCGGTAGCAAATACAACAAAAATATGTGTATTTGAAGATTGATAGATACAGAGACTAACTTAGATTATAAAATGAAGTGAAAAAATAGTAGCCCTTCACAATCAATGCTGCAAGTTACTGATAAATATAGTTGAAAATCATTTCAGGGGCCACTGCAAATGGTCTTGGGGCTTCGGGATTCCCCCAGATGAGCTGGAGGAGAGGGAAGTCTAGTTGTAATATATAATAATAATCTTTATTTATATACCGCCTTTTTCACTGCAGATCTGAGTCTCAAAGCGGTTTACAATTGTTAATTATGGGCATTTGTCTCTCACTCGCCTCTCAGCAAGAAGGTCCTGGGTTTGAATCCCGGTCGGACCAGGGCCTTTCTGAGTGGAGTTTGCATGTTCTCCCTATGCCTATTGAACATATTTTTAGTGGTAGGGGAAACCGGAGTACCCGGAGGAAACCTACGAAGACACGGGGAGAACATGCAAACTCCACTCAGAAAGGCCCTGGTCCGACCGGGATTCGAGAGTGCTATCCACTCAGCCACCGTGCCGGTGCGTACTGTCCCACAAACCAAAAAACATTTCTCAAAAATGTTTAAGAATAGACTCCAACTGATGTCTGCTGTCGTTGTGTCCTTGGGCAAGACACGTAACCCCACTTTGCCTGAAGCCCCCGCTGGAAGATCTCAGCTCCTGTGGACTCAGCTCCTGCAGGAGGATCAGTGAGGGGCTGGTGCTCTGTGGACTGGGAGCAGCTCTGACTGCCACCCCCCTGACCCAGAAATGGAATAAGGAGAAGAAAATGGATGGATGGGTTTAAGAATTAAGTAATTTGTAATGTTTTTAATCTAGAATCAAATTATTTGGGGTTAGTCATTTTTAGAAATCTTGTCAAGTCATATGTTCTTGTTCTAGGGGCAGATAATTTGTATTATTTCAATCAGTATTTTACTTATTTTTACAAATTTGTTTATGAATTTTTTCAAGGTATTTTTTTCTAGTGTGTTTATCTATACTTTCTACTTAAGAAATGTCAAATTAAATAATCTCATGATCCTGTTTAATGGTCATAAATAGTTAAAACATTTATGATTTAATACAATGTTATCAGAACCAGAACCAGTTACAGCAGTTCTCATCACTTTTGCTAAACTTTATATACTTTACATACACAGTGTTAAACAAAAACATTGGAAATACTCTCATTTATTGTCTCTTTCATGAAACAGTTTTCTGACTCAATCTGAAGCCGTTAATGATTATTGTTCCACTGCAAAAACTCAGCGGGAAATATAATTGAAAAGACTCGTACAGTAATTATTCTGTACGCGGCGTTGTCGGTGCTTAACATTGACCTTTCGCGTCTTTGCTCAATAATGTACAGTTGAACGAGTTAT